GCCCGACGAACCGACTATCTGATATCGCGGTACATGTGCGATCTAGTCTCCTGAGAGTTTGACCCTGCGCGGCAGCAGATCTGGACGCTGAGGAAGACTGGCGAGATGAGAAGGAGCCTAATCCATTGGCGCGCGTTGTCGGCCCAGGAACGATGAGCCTGGGCCCCATGCGACGAAACGCATAGGAGGGTGGAAAGGGGGGCGAGAGGGGAGGGGGCGGCAGGGAGCAGGGAGAAGGGTGAGAAGGGGGATGTCGAGGATGAGAGGGAGGAGCAGGAGGATGGGGCAAGGGGAGGCGGAAAAGGGAGCAGGAGTACGTACACGCACAGCGATGCATGTAAACGACGCACACGATGATGAACGCCGTGCGAATGATATTTCGGGGATCGCAATCTTGGGATAAGAAGGGTCGATACACCATGCTGGTAATATGCGGTGGCTGCGATGGTGTTACTGCTGCTGGTGTCAGCGATGATGGTGAGAGGATGGTGGTGGTGATGGTGATGTTGATGCGGACTCTGATGATGTCCAGGTGGCGTTGAGGATGTCCTGCGAGCGCCAGCCTGCTCGGAAACCCGAGCAGATAAATCTAGAAGCAGACGTCGTGCTCAGTAGGGCGCGCCTTCGGGCCAGCATGGCCACGCACTCCGCGATATGGCAACGCCTGCAGCATGCACGCTGCACGCGCGCATGCTGAAGAAAAAACGCCAGAAGCCATCGCCAATATTGTCGAATGCGCGGCTGTCGCTGCTCGCCCTCGGCGCTGGCAGCGAGCTAGCAGCGCGCGTGACTTCAGGTGGCGCAGCGTCGATCGGGCCGCTGCGAATTGCCGTCGCAGCCGCCTTGGCGGCTGCCTTGCGGCCCGTCTTCTGGACCGATGGCTCTCCGACGGTTGCCCCCGCTGAGGTGGCGTCGGGTGAAACGGCCGCTGGTGAACCCTCAGCGGGCGCTCCAGACTTGTCGGGGCTGGTCGCTACCTTGGCGACCTTCGGGCTGCGCGCTGGCCCCCTCAGGGCGGCCGCGGCGACCTTCGCCGGCGGCTTCCTCATCGCAGGGAGATCCTCGGACTCCTCGCCCTCCTCGTCGCTGAGTGCAGCGACTTCCCCATCGCCTTCCTCAGCAGCGATGGTCCCCAATCCGTCGCAGGCGCCTTCATCTTCGACATCATCGGGTTCACGCTTGGGCTCCACGTCACCAGCTGGGCGTTTTCTTGCAGGTAGCTCTTCGGCAGCAGCTGGGCGCTCTCTGGCGGTGGAGCTGCTATTGAGCCATCTCTTCTTCGTCGCCTCCAGCTCACCCCTGGTCGTGCCCTCGCAGCACTTCTTGCCGAGGCCGATCGCGAAGTCCTGGACGTCCTCCAATGAGCGATTGTCATGCATTGTGACCTGCAGGATCATGGCCTTCTTGCCCGAGGTGCCTTTCTCGTATTCCCACGCGGCAGTGAAGGCGCTGGCCCTCTTCCTCGTGCACCTGTCGACCAACGCGCGACGACCAGGCTCTCGCTCACCAATCCACTGCCAACCAGCGCCCTTCTTGCTCTTGCCACCAGCGCCAAGCTCGCCATCTCCGACGCAGCCGTTCGTCATGCCAGGGATCTCGTACTGGTCGCCGTCGCCCCGCGCAGCGATGGCTGGCTTCTCGCGGGGCGCCGACGGGTCGTGCCTGACGACCTGGCTATAGATCGGCCTCGCCACATCGTTGCTGGAGTCCTTGCGCCACGCCGCCTTTGGGGTGCGGGCGAGCGTTTCTTGCGCGTGGTTTCCATATAGTGGATCCACGCGCATCCCATGGATTCAACCAAGAACTTCTGGAAAAAAAACTCCTTACCCCTCCATGGCTACTTGCCGCCCTCTCGCCTCGCGCAGCCCCCCCCCCCCCTCTCCACCTGCGTCGCTGACGAAAGTAGTCGGCGACGGCGCGGGAGGGGCAAGGGGCGTCGCGGAGGAGGGAAGGTGCAAGATGATGCTGATGATCAGGGCGAGGGGGAGGAGGAGGAGGAGGAGGGGGGAAGGGGGACGGCGAGACGGGCGAGGAGGAAGAGGACGAGAAGGAGGGGGCGGAGGAGGAAGAGGAAGAGGAGGAGGAGGAGGAGGAGGAGGAGGAGGAGGAGGGGGAGGAGGAGGAGGGAGGGAGCAGAGGAGGGACGGAGAGGAGTGTCGCGAGGGGCCAGGATAGGAGGAGGAGGAGGACGGGAAGAGAGAGAGAGTTTTGTTGATAGAGAGATGACGGGGAGAGACTGGAGAGAAGAGAGATAGACAAGAGAGAAGAGAGAGAGAAGTGCGAGGGCGACACCGGATGGACGGTTGCTGTTGAATCCGCCGCTGGTGCCTGCATCTCCTTGGAGGAAGCTTTCGTGCGTGCAACGTTGAAACCTTCCTCGACCTTCAAGCCCTTGTGGTGGGGATGGGGCTGGTCTTTTCTGTATGTGCTGTTCGTTTGACTTTGGCGGGCATGACATAATAGACTAAGTCTCCCCAACCACCCCCAAAACCTACTACCTACAGATGTTAAACATTCATAACATCACCATCCTCCTCCTCACCCACAAACAATACTTTAGCACCTAATGGTTATCCGCCTCCCCGCACCACTGTACCACGCTCATGCATCATACCGTACGAAATATGCCTCCATCCTTACTACATACCACACACCGACTAATCGCACTTCTACATACTACCTCCTCCTCCTCCCTCCTCCTCCTATCCTCCGCTCCCCTCCCCCCTCATCCTCCTCCTCATCATCCATCCTCCTCCTCCTCCTCTACTCCACCTCCTCCTCCTCCTCATGGTTCCCAGTGGATCCAGGTGTATCCCATGGAATCGACCCAGAACTTCTGAAGAGAAACGTTTTCAACTCCACCCCTCTTCGCTGATCTGCCCAGCCACCTCCCCCTTCCTCTCCCCCCTCCCACCCCGCATTCCTGCTCACCGTCTCTGCCCCGATCGAAGTACCCCCTTTCCCCATGCCGCCGCGTCCAACCTCCTCTACGATCCATCGCCCATCCCCAATTTCTCGGATGGTGTCCTTCTCGATGAAAGGTTCCAGCCACTTCGGCTTGCTGCCGCGGCTCTTTGGGGGGATGCAATGGGGATGCAGTATTCCTCCTCCTCCTCCTCCTCCTCCTCCTCCTCCTCCCCCTCTCTCTTCCTCCTCCTTTCCTCTCCGCCTCCTCCCCTCCTCCCCTCCTCCTCCTCCCCCTCCTCCTCCTCCTCCTCCTCCTCCTCCTCCTCCTCTTCCTTTTCCTCCTCCTCCTCCCTCCTCTTCCTCTTCCTTCGAAGCCCACCTGTCCTGAAGCGGATCATCGCTTGGTCCACATGGCGCAACATGGCCCTGATGCGCTTGCCCGCGCGGCAGCACCAGTCCTCCGCCTCGTCGGCTAAATGCCACTCCTCCTCGTGGAACCCCGCGAGCTTCTCCAGCTGGCCGACCAGGGATGCCGACGAGGAATGGGAGAGGGACGGCATGAGTAGAAGGAGGATGTCCGTGGGAAGAGGAGCAGGAGGAGGAGTGGGAGGAGGAGGAGGAGGAAGAGGATGAGGAGGAGGAGAAGGAGGAGGAGGAGGAGGAGGAGGAGGAGGAGGATTTGGGGAGGAGGGCGATGGTTAGGAGAAGGGGAACAGGACGGAGGATGAGGAGGAGAGCGCTGACTTTGGAGGACCAGGGAGAAGGAACATGAAGACGGGGCGACGATCTACGAGTTACGAGAGAGAGAGAGAGATATAAATAAACATAGAAAGAGAGCGAGAGAGAGAGAGAGAGGCGGTGACTGACAGCGCCTGCGCCAAGTTGCGCGCAGGCTTGATGGCGTGCCGCAGGGCCAGGAGCATGGGCGTGTGCGCCCGCAGCGCGGCCTCGTCCTGCTCGGCCTCCACGTCCTGGACGTACTCGTCCAGCTCGGAGGCCTCCTTGAGGTGCTCCGTGAGCACCTCGAGGACGGCCGACGCGTCGCCACGCGGCCGCGCCATCGCGCCTGCAGCGCGAGAGGCCGCACAGGCTGTGGCCCGCCACAATCGGCGTTGCCAAAATGGCCAATACGGTGGAGGAGAAGGAAGAGAAGGATATGAGGGTGGGGGTCTGTACTCTCCCCTGATCACTCTTCCTGGTTTGCTTCCTCCCTCCTCGTCATCCTCCTCCACCTTTTCCTCCAGTTCCTCATCCACCTCGTCATCCTCCTCCTCCTGCTCCTCCTCCCTCCTCCTCCTCCTCCTCCTCCTCATCTTCCTCCTCCTCCTCCTCCTCCCTCATTCACCTCGTCATCGTCGTCGTCCTCCTCCTCTTCCAACTACTCCTACCCCTCCTCCTCCTCCTCCTCCTCCTCCTCCTCCTCCTCTTCCTCCTCCCCCTACTACTCCCCACCCCCTCCCTGCGGGAGAGTAGCAGAACAGCATGCAAGACGATGCAGCCCGCAGCCTACAGAGGGGTGGGCAGGTCCTACTGCGAGCTCGAGATCTTCGTGCGTATTTGCTGTGTGGTCTTGTGTTTGCTGCCTGTGCTGTGTTGTGTTGTGCTGTGCTGTGCTTATGTGCTGTGCTTATGTGCTGTGCCGTGCTGTGTGTGCTTGTGTGCTGTTGTTCCAGCTCGTTCCTGGAAATTCAAGTACACTGCATGGTATGCCATAACACACGATATCACATATAGTAGAAAAATAAGAAATTTCACATTGTTATTTTTGGCATCTTATTTTAATATGTTCAGCACCTCTGGGTTATCTAGGAGGCTTCAAGCCCTGGAGGATGCCTTCTATGATAAGGGCGGCGCTGATACCCATGCCCAGGACTCATAGTGTTCCATCGATCCAGCGACTCTTCATCCAGAGCCATCACCGTGCCGCCCCGCGCGCTGTCTTTCGGTCCTCCCCCTCTCCTGGAACCCTTCTCGGGCCGAGCGAGCTCCGGCCCGCCGTGCTGCACCCCTGTGGGGCCGCACTCCCCTGGGTCGCCAGTGGGCGCCTCGCCTCGCCCCCGTGCCCCTAAAGCGTAGGACGCTCAGAGACCCAGATGACGTCCCCCCAGTCGCCATGCCCAGGAGCGAGCGAGCCCCCGCTCCCCGCCCGGCGCGCCCCGCAGGAAGACAGCGAGGACAGCGACCACGGCGACGACATCACGTGGTCCAGTCTGGTGTCGTGCAAGGACCGATCGGCAGACCCCACCCCCTAGAGCATCAAAGGGTGACGTCGTCGTCGTCGTCGTCGTCGTCGTCGTCGTCGTCGTCGTCGGCGTGGGAGCAGGAGGAGGAGGAGGAGGAGGAGGAGGAGGAGGAGGAGGAGGAGGAGGAGGGAGGAAGGAGGAGGAGGGGAGAGGAGGAGGAGGAGGAGGCGGAGAAGGAGAAGGAGGAGGAGGAGCGAGAGAAGGAGGAGGAGGGAGGAGGAGGAGGAGGAGGAGGAGGAGGAGGAGCCACGGGCTGAAGAGGGGCGGGGCCGTCGTCTCGTCGGTCGCCCCCGCCGTTCGTGGCCGCGCGCAGCGCGCCATCGGCGCCGCAGCCGCGGCGGCTGTAGCTGCCACGCCCCGCGAGGGCGAGCCCGCGTGGCACAGGCGGCGGCGGGAGAAGAGGGCAGCCGCGAGGACCCTCTTCCGCATCCTCGACGCGGCGCAGGTGCTGAACGGTCACCACAGCGCCCAGCAGCTGCAGCAGCAGCCCCAGCACCAGCAACAGTACCAGCAGCTGCCACAGTACCAGCAGCAGCAGCAGCAGCAGCCTCAGTACCAGCAGCAGCCACACGATCTCGTGATAGCGCAATCCTGGCCCGTTGGGGCGCAACCGTGGCCGTGGAGGTCGCAGACGCGTGGGAAGTCGAAGACCAATCACCACCACTACCAGAAGCACAACGGCCACCAGAAGAGCAACAACGACCAGAACGACAACAACGACTACCAGAAGTACGACGGCCACAACTACCAGAACGACCACAACCACAAGAAGGACAACCGCAAATGGAGAGGCAGCACATCAAGGAATGCATCGAGACAACGAAGAAGCAACCGAGGTTCCAACGCACCCAACCAAGCCGACGAATTCAACAACTACACGATCACCCCGACGATGAAGCAGATCGCGATCGTCGAGCCCATTACCCCCGCGCTGCTGCAGATGGCGAAGGAGCACGAGAGCTTCTCCACCCCCCCCCCCCATGGAGGACGACATCAAGAAAGCGTGGTTCACTACAAAGGTGAACAGGCTCGGGGGGCTCGCGGACCAGGTGATGGGAGCTCAGCAGGCGCAGATAGATGAAGCTCTACAAAGAGATCGCCATCACCAAGGCCACTATCGCGATGCTTACCGAGCCTGCGCAGCGGGTCCACGGCTACAGGCACGAGATCGACCAGCGGATCAAGCGCAAGAGCGAAATCAACCAGCAGATGAAGGACCTCGGCAAGGAGAACGACAAGATCGACCAGAACACTGAAGCCCTGAAGGCCTTGATCAATGAGGCCAAGCAAATGAGGGCAACGAAAGAACTACTGGACGACTCCAGCTGTGACGGCGACGAAGAAGATGAGGGGGCCCCGAAGGGTGCGAGAGGGCGAACGCCATATCCTAAGAAAGGCACCGACAAGGACGAATCGAACGACTGCAAAGCACATTATATAAGCTGCCACAGCGACCAGCACCACGACAAAGACGACATCAGGAAGCTCATCAGCGACATCCGCGAAAGGATCGACATGCAGGACCAGCAGCAAGAGAAGGCGCTGGAGCAGGCGCAGAGCAGGAAGAACGCCGAGCAGCGTGACGAGATCAGGAGTACGAGCGAGAAGATGAAGTACACGAAGATCAAACTCGAGCACCGCGAGCAGGAGGCAGCGGAAAAAGGCACTCAGAACGACGAAGAACGCCCTCCGACGACAGGAGGAATCGCACCAAAAGGAAGCTGACAGCTATAAAGTACGAGTGCGAGCTGAACTCCGTGAAGCAGAAGTAAACAAGAACGAGGAGGCACACCAGCAAGCTCAGCGACACTTTGAGATGCAGCAGAACAATTACCACGAGGCTAAGGCCCGCGAACAAATAGAAGGGCTACATCAAGAACGGCATCACATGCATCTCAGACTACGCGAACTGCAACGGCACCAAAGCGCTGAACTCCAGGCAGCAAGTCAGAGGACCTTTGAAGCGAAGGACCAACATGGCGAGCATAAGAAGGAGATGATGAATCGCCAAGAGCAGCATGCACAGATCAAAGCCGAATAACTCCAGGCCGTGTGCGTCCAGAACCGCAGCGAGATGGAGCAGCAGCACTGCCAGACCATGAGGTACCTGAGGGCCGACATGCAACAAGAAGAACAAGCACACGTCCAAGAACGAATACTTGAAGCCTATGGTGAGATACAAGCGCAGTTCACGGAGGCCCAGAAGAAACAGTTCCAAACGTACGAGGGGTGGCAGCACCAAGAGGCACGGAACAACGAGATGCACATGTACCAGCAGAAGATCGCCTACGAGGGGCATCAAGCAGAAGCCCAGCTCACAATTGAAGAAGAACGAGCGTGGCATCTACGACGGCAACAACGACTGGAGGAAGCTATTGCGACTGTCGATAAGACCCACGAGGACATAGACCGCCGGGCGGTTATGGATCTATTGCGCGAGTTCAGCGAGGCAGAGGGCGACCGACGACGCGAGCAATGCCTCGCAGGCGAGATGGAGAAGGAAGCTCAACGCGAGACGACACAATGCCTACAAGCTGTGCTACCAGGACCCTTCGACGAGATGTGCCCAGACCTCGAGCCCCACGCCGCGCAGCTGGCCATCATGGAGCAAAACGCGCACTTGGAGCACAGGGCGCAATCGACCACCGACAGCGAGTTCAGCCTGACCGAGCTGGGATTCGCGCCAGTGCCACGCGACTCCACACCGACCCCGCCGCCACCGATGCCTAACCCGACGACTGCACAACCTCAGGCGCTACGCCCAGACATGAATACAGCTGCCGACAACGCGCCTGCCACATCTGATCAGAAGACACGCGACAGCGACGAGGCCGACGGCAGCGTAGCACCGACGCCAATCGCCGATGACGGCTACGACGGAAGACTAACCCCCATTCCCGATATTCACGAAGACCCTGACCCAGCCGACTCCCGTATCTTCACCCCAATGCAACGAGTCAATTTGACGCCCATACCAACTGAGCAACCAACGCCAATTGGGTACCGACATGTACCGACCACCAGCTCAGACAACGACTCCAGCAGCAGCAACCAACGTATTCCCAGACGCCCGGCCACTTTCCGCCCCACCCGAGGCCAGACAGCACGAGCTTGCATCAGAAGAGTCCCAACCCACTTCCGCCGTACTCATTGACTTGAGCAACGACGGTGAAGACGCATCACCGCGCACGCCGCCACGGGCGCCTATCCCCTCTGCAATTACCCCGACACAACCGCGCCAACCAGTCCCTCCCCCCCCCCAATTCCGCGTAGGTACACCCGAGCGATGCAAGTCGGCACCCACGCCACGGATGATCTCCGCACTAAAGCGCAACGACCGAACAGTACTGCCAGCCAGGAAGGCCCGCATACATGGTATTGGTGACGGATTCTTAGACCCAACAGACCGAGTTCTCGTGCGAGCCCACGACGACGAGGGCTCGGATGGCGCCGCCAGCTCAAAAAACTGAGCAGGACCGACCTCGCTGTGGAGCTACTGGCTCAGCGAGGTAGTCCAACACCAGTGCACCGAGCCCCTGGTCGGCTCCAAACGACCATGCGACTGACTACGGCGGAGACGCCAACCAACGCTAGCAGCTACTGTGAATACCACGAAGCAACCAGCCTTCCGACCCCTGCGGTGGCGGCGGCTTGCAACGCGGCACAGCGGCTTCTCCCAGTAGGGGAGATCACGACACTAGCATGTGCCATGCCAGCGACAGCTTCGGGGACTGCTGACGCGCATGACAACAACGACATTCACCATTACGTAGCCACTCTTTTTATTTATTTTTATATATATATACATATATATATATATATACATATATATAAATATATATAAAAGCCCCGAATAACAACCGCACTTCAACGCCGAACGACGCGGGTTTAGCGACGGCAACATTGCGCCCGCACCGTGGGAAAGCTACTTCAACGGTGAGCGCATCAGAGCTACACATACGGCCGGACTGGAGAGACTCCCTCCAGCCGATCTTTCGGACACCGTGCGTCGAGCAGGAGGTCCGCCACCACGTAGTGACCGACGAGTGCGCTTTCAATCCCCGACGCCGCCCAGGGCTAGGCCAGGAGAGGCAAAGGCGAACGCGCCGCCAAGGCCAAACCGACCCCAGCCCGATTTGGCACCAGAGGCGAAAAGCCATTTTGGCTTGGAGGCGCCAACCTTGCACGAGGACCGAATTCATTCTCACTCCGACAAGCGGAGCGACCGCTATCTGAGCAGCGCGCCACCCGACATGATCGACGGCATCGAGGAGACATCTTTTCACAGCGCCAAGGATGGAAGAACGCACGACGACACCAGCATCGACGACTACTCAGACAAGCCCAATGATTCGCCCCACGACAGCAGCAAGAATGAAGATCTCGCTAGACGTCGGCTTGCACGAGTACAACGACGACTACGAGTAATTGCCAAGATGCGCGATGGAAACACAACAACCAACAACCGATTGGCAGGCGATGAACAGCACGATGATGAGATGGGCAGCTGCCACATGCACGACGACGAGATGGGCAACCACGACACCAAGATCGAAGGTTGCCCTGGCGAAGACGAAGCTAGACAGACGCAATACAAGCAAATAGTACAACGTCAAAGAAGACGTTAACAACCCATACGGCTCAAAGCACCACCACAAAACTCGGCTGCCCTGGTGAGGCAAGGTTCAAACTTCGAGACGGGCTCGAAGGGTGGTGTGTGTGTGTGCGTGCGTGTGTGTGTGTGTGTGTGTGTGTGTGTGTGTGTGTGTGTGTGTGTGTGTGTGTGTGTGTGTGTGTGTGTGTGTGTGTGTGTGTGTGTGTGTGTGTGCGTGTTGATGGCGTGCGGGTGGGGTGGTGGGGGGGGGGGGGGGGGGGTCAGGGCGAAGTACTGCCCGAGCCTGCCAGGGGGATGGTGAGGGGCAGGGGGGCGGGTGGGTGGTGGTGGTGTGTTTGTGGGGGGGGGGGGGGGGGGGGTAGGACGGCACTGCCTGCGCCCCCGCGGTCCGCCCTAGCTCGCCACCCCCGCCATCCCCATGGCGGAGACGGAGCTTGCCCGGGCGCCCAAGCGGCGAAGCGAAGGGCTGCCGAGATTACCCTCACCGACAACAGAAGCAAGCACACGCCCTGGGGTTCGCCCCCACCGAGGGCACTGTGACCCCTAGCCATAGCGGGACGAGGTGAGGCAGCCACGAACCCCACTTGAAGTCGGTGCATGGAGGCCTTCTAAATGCGCCCATAACCGATACAACAACACCAGCAACATGCCGACTTCCCAACGACCCACTCACAAGCACGCACCTTAAGCAATCACAAGGTCTGGGGTTCGCCCCCGCCGAGGGCATTGTGACCCCTAGCCATAGCGGGGCGAGGTGGGACCGCCGAGAACCCCACTTGAAGTCGGCGCATGGAGACCTTACGGATGCAATTACCGTCCCTTACAACGAGACCACCGACCCAACGACCACCCACTGCAGAGCTACCATCTCGTCAACCACGAGCACGACCACAACCAGCAACAACACAAACACCACTACCAAGACCACAACCAGCAGCGTCTCGAGCAATACCACTACGACAAGCTATGCAACCTTTCCGACTTGTGCGACAACCAAGGGGCCACGCCACAACACCCGATGACGCCAGACAGCAGGCGACCCCACATATTGGCCCGTCGCTTAACGCGAACGACTACACACACAACACGACAATTCCACCAAACCACAGACGGCAGCTCAGACAGCATCCCTGGGCACTGTCACCAACGAACCCACCCAGCCACTCACTAATACACACGCACGCCAATGCAGCAACCAACACGAACAGCAGACCCGCAAAAACTTCAGCACCACAAGCCCAAGCACATAGCGATGCTACCATTTCGACATCGACCCGCGACAAACAACGTGCGAACCACACACAGCACAGCGACGGACGCAGCTAGCAATCCTGCACACGAACCCACCAATCACACGCGACGACCAACCCAAACCATGCAACCGTTCCGAGCGAATCAGAAGACACAGAAAACGCACACGACCAAGGAAATTAGCCTGACGAAAGACCCAACCATACGTAGCTGTGAATACCGCAATTGTGGATATCGTGGGGGTTCCTTCTCCTCCTCCTCCTCCTCCTCCTCCTCCCCCACCTCCTCCCCCCTCCCTATGGGACCGCGAAACGTGTGAGGGGTGTGCCAAAATGGGGCGGCGGCGCCATGCGAGCTGCGCCACTTGGACCTGGGGTGGAGCTCCCTGTGGGGCCACGGAACGTGTGAGGGGTGTGCCAAAATGGGGCGGCGGCGCCATGCGCATTGCGCCACGGGGGCCTTAGGTGGAGCTCCCTATGGGGCCACGAAGCGCGCGAGGGGTGTGCCGAAATGGGGCGGCGCCGCCTATGGGGCCACGAGACGTGTGAGGGGCGTGCCGAAATTGCGGGTGGAACCGCATGCGAGCGCAGCCACTGGCCTTCGGTGAAGCTCCCTATGGGGCCACGAAGCGTGTGAGGGGTGTGCCAGAATGAGGGGTGGAACCGCATGCGAGCGCAGCCACTGGGGCCTTCGGTGGAGCTCCCTATGGGGCCGCGAAGCGTGTGAGGGGTGTGCCAGAATTGGGGGTGGAACCGCATGATCGCCCCCGTGACTCATCCCTCAACCCCCCAACCCCCCGGCCGGATTTCTTTTCTTCTTTCCGCGGGGGGTCAACCTTCGCGGCGACCCGTTAAACCCGGGACCCCTGGCGGCGCATGGATTTCTTTCCTTCTTCCCCGCGCGCGTTGCCGTTGGAACCCCTGAACCCCTCCGACTACCGTACAACTCGTACTTGAGTACAACTGGTACTATCATGTCCTATCGCGCAGTTGTTCCTAGAGAGCACGTTGTCCTGCCGTGCAAATATTCGAGTGCAGCTGGTATCATATTACAGCTGGTAAAATTGTGCCCCCTAGAACAACGCCCTATCGCCAATCCCCAGTACTAGTACAACTCCATGGTACAACTCCCGAGCACAACTCCCCCGTACAATTCCAATATATTGCGTTTCCAATATACTGGGTTCCCAATATATAAGCCCGAACCCGAACCCAAACCTCACCGGCTGTAATTCAGTTGTTCCCGTACTAATGCAAATCCCTAGTGCAACCGCGATTAAGGTGTTGTTGCATTGCACTTGCAGTCTCGGCTCTCACGCTTTTCTTCCTCTGGTTGCGCTTGGGGGGGTGGGGCCCCTCGCGCGGGCACCCCCGCGGCTGGGAGTTCATTCCTCTTCCGGAATTTGAGGGGGGGGGTAACCCCCGTGCTCGAACCCCATCGCCAGGGTTTTTTTCTTTCCTCCGCGGAAACCGGACCCCCTGGGTTCTTCGGCGCGCCCCAATTTTTTTTTCTTTCCGGTTGGGCCTCCATGGGTCTTAGGTTGGAGTCACCCGGGTG